AAGAATAAAATTTAAGCAATTTTTAATATTTTCAGATGTATGCGGATTGGGTAATAATTCAATACTAATTAATGCCTTGTTTAATTTCATATCCTGATCCAAGCACAAAATTGTTACACCAATGTAACCATTATTTTGACAAGAGATTCATAGATTTGTTGTGAAATTAATGCTTTTGCTTCAGATTTTAATAATTCTTTAAGATTTTTTTTGTTCATTCATAATTATTATTTATCAATTCTTTATATTTTTCTTCAATTGGAATCCTAAATCCTGGTTCAAATTCATGAAGCATATTTCAAAATGCATTATTTCAAAGGATATTTAATGGTTGACAATCAAGAATAATAAAATTAATAAGTGATTGTTCTAAAAATAATTGACGTTTTAAAGTAATATATTTTATTGCAGCTCTGATATCACCATCTGTTTTTACTGGCTTTTCTAGATAATCTTTATCAATTCTATGATCACACCAAAGATGTTCTTGGGCAGTAGTAGTTGAAGCGTCTTTTGACTACTTATAATGCTTAACAATATCTTTATTTTCGCATACTTGACAAACAAGATATAGTTGATTTTCATCTGCATCAAACTTCTCAAAATAGTAGTCCCAAATAATACTTGAGTTTTCTCTTTTACGCTTTTTATTAGGAATAAAATTGAACAAAGAAACAATATTTAAAATAATACATTGAATAGTCGATTTACATATGTTAGTGTAACTAATTTGTTATAAATCATGACATTACACACATATCTCATGACTATATGCTAATTGATTAATTGATTAACGTAATGGATTTGTTTATAGAAAGGTTTCTGTTTGAATTTAAAAATCAGTTTAGATTTAAAAACTGGTTTAATTTGAAAATCGGTTTAATATAAAAAACCGGTTACTGGATTTTTGAAATTTTTTTTAAAACCGGTTACTTAATAAAAAAGTCTGAAACTAAAAACCGAAAATCGGTTTTAAAGCACTAATTAGATTAATAAGAATAGAATATTATAGTAAGTCTTTTAATTAATGATATAGGAGAAATTGAAATATTTATCATATAATGAAACCTAAATATATTTAATCATTATTTTTAAAATGACAAAATGACAAAATATTTAATTATAATGAAACTATTTAGTTATAATAAAATATTTAGTTATGACAAAACTATTTAATTATGATAAAACTATATAGTTATGACAAAATTATTTAATTATAATAATTAAAATCTTACATATCAATATTGATTAATAATTAAAATCACTTCTAATAATATTATTATTCATTTTTAATTTTAATTATTATTTATATTATAATAATAATTAATATAATATTTATAAATTAGTAGAATTTTATATATTATAAATGATTTTAATTTATTTATAAAATATAAAATAAAAAACTAATTTAATTATTTTTATTAAATTTTATTTATTACACTTCATTATAAAAAGTTTTTTTTAAATAATAAATTATAGAAAATCTGATACTTAAAACATGTAAATTAAAATGCTTTAATAAAGAAGACCTTAATAAATTATATAATCACATTTAATTTCAATAATAATGTAATAAATTAAAAAGTTATCTTATAGATCACATGATTTTTACCTTGTCACAAAATCCATCCAATCAGCTAA